TTTATTTATGTGTGTGTGTGTGTGTGTGTGTGTGGCCAGCTCAGCCCACCAGGGGGCGGGGCTGGCTGGCATGTGGTACTGGGGGATTGAACCGCGGTCCCTGATGCTTTGCTAAGCTTGTTCCAAGTAGGTGCTTTAGACCACTGAGCCATCTCACCAGCCCTCCAGTGTATATTTTAGAACCTTTGCTGAAAAATCAATTGACTGCAAAGGCATGGGCTGTCTGTTATGTTTCATTGTCTGTGTGTGTTCTTTGTGCTAGTTTGCTGTGTTGTTTGGATTATGTAACTCTGTACTAAATTTTAAAGTAATATAATACCTCCTATTTTGTTCTTTTTGACTCAGTATGGCTTTAGCTACTGAGGGTTTTGTGGTTCCATATAAATTTCAGAGTTTTCTAGTTCTGTGGAGAAGAATATCAGTGTTTTGATAGGGATTGCTTTGAATCTATGGAGCTCTTTGGGTGGTGGAACATTTTAAAAATGTGGATTCATCCAATCTGTGAATACTTGGTGTCTTCTGTCTATGTGAATGTCAACAATACTTCTATGATTTTTTTTTTTTATTTTTTTATTTTATTGGTGATCAAGCATAGGACCTTGCACTTGCCAGGCAGACACTTAAGCTAACTGAGCTATTTTATTTTACTTTCTTTTAGATATAGCTATTATAATTGGGATCACTTTCTTGGTTTTGTTTCAGATAATTTCCTGTGGGTATGTAACAACCTTTCTGGGTTAGTATGTTGATTTTGTATCATGCAACTTTTCTGAGTTTATGAGTTCTGACAGGTTTTTGGTGGAGACCTTGTGTTTTCGTTTATAAGATCTTGTTATCTTCAAGCAGCAACCATTGGACTTCCCTTTTCCAGGTGTTTTTTATTTTTTTATTTTTTTATTTTTTTTTTCCTGATTGCTCTGGCTAGGACTCCCAGTATTGTGCCAGTTAAAAGTGCTAGGTAGAGGTGTACATCCTCATCATGTTCCAGATTTTGGAGAAAATGCTTGAAAGATTTTCCTGATTTAGTATAATGTTAGCTGTTGGCTTT